TAGTTTTATATGAAACAGGAGACTGAATTAAATTATTAATAAAACTATCTATTGTTCAGTTTCTTATATTCCAGATCAATTATATTAATATTACAGAAGAACACTCGTTATAAAGAACAGCTGTATGTTGATGTTGTTGAAAAGCATGTAATGAAAAACAAATATATTTGACTAAAAAAAACTATTTAACAAATGTTGCAATAGAATTTCCGGAATATTTTTTTTTCTAACATAAGTAGCCTTCAGGAAATATTTCCAATTAGGTTCTTTTATATATATATATTTTTTTTTGCACTAAATATTTCGCTCGTGATAACAAAAAAATAATAATAATAAAGTTTCTATAATATTTGCAGGACAATGTTATATCAAAAACCAAATTTTTCTTTCATCTATAATGTTTCAATCAATGTAGAAAAGATAGACTTTTTAACCCTTTCTCTTATCTTTAAAAAGATTATTGTCATATACACATTAAAGTATGTAAATGAAGATGACAAATCAATTTTCTTAATATATAATTTAACTGTCTTTCATAATAAATTTATAATACATTTCATTTTCATGATGACGTTTATCATTATGCGTAAAAGATCTTGTTCTAATCTTTATGCATTTTACACTTTGATGTAAACATGAAAAGTAATATATATAAATCGTCTTTTATGCATAAAAAATATTATAAATAGTAACCGATATATCATTGTTTATGACATTTATTCTTGTACTTTAAATAACCTTGTTTAATATGCTAATATATATATAGCAATGATTGGTTTAATAACACATTAAACAATGCAATAAAACAAAAGAATGATGAAGAAACAAAAAGACATTTTTAGATTTATCGTGTTTCGAAAGTTTTTGAATATCAATCTAATAAATTTTTATAAATAAATTCGAAATAGAATGATGTACATAGTTATGACTTATTATCTTGAAGGAAATTAAAATTTTTCCTTGAATAGAAAATATGAACATAATAATAAAACTTCATGTTTCGATAAACTCGAACAATCAGGTATTATTATTTGAAAAATTTTTCTATTATAATGAATAACGAAATTTTTATATAATTTTTTTTTCTTTTTATTATCATTGAGTATATTTTATTTCAAACACTAAAAAACAAAATATATTTCAAGATGCAATATAAATAACTCTATAAGTTAAAATAAAAATCTTGTTTGTTTTTAAAACTTTCAGATTAATTTTCAACACTAAGAACAAGATATGATCAAATAGCTTCTTTTTTTTATCTCATCAATCAAAGGCAGTACTATTTATTCAAGCAAAAATGCAAGTCAACAGGAAACATACAGACAAGGAGATATTAACCAAAGGGTTAAGTATTCAAAAGTAATTATGATATAGTTCAATGCATCTAAATATACTCATACGACTTGAATTATATTGAAATCTACTATAATATTATCATTTGAAAGTTATATTGAAGTTGTTCTTCTACGTGCACGATCTGAAGGTATATAAAATAAAATTTTTATTGTGACTTGTAGAGCTTTTCATATGGCATCTTGTGATATATTTTGTTTTTAAGGGTACTTCTCCTTTCATGATTAAAATTTTTTTTTTTGTGACTATTATATAGTCTGAAATAGTATCTATCTATTGGATACATTTTAGTATCTAAAAATGATCTTTAAATGTTAAAAAATCAAATTTACGTAATAAACATAAGAAACTGCGTATTCCTCAAAGCAAGTTTTTCATGAAAAAGAAAAAGTTCAAAAACATCTTCGTTTCTCCGACTTAGTATATCCGATCGAACTGAAACATTTTTTGTACATATACTATACAGTGTTTAGAATGAGTATATTTTTTTATTTTTTATTTCAAAAAAATATTGTTCTTCTAATTTTTGGTGGCTCTTATAAAGGAAAGTTCTATTCAAAAACAAAACACACAGTTTTTGAAATATCGTCAATATTTTGACTCTTTTATTCGATTGGACAAAAAATAAAAAAATACCTATACCGAACCGTGTCTAATGTTTATAAACAAACTTTCGGTTCAAATAAACATAGCACCTTGAAGAAACGAGGTCAAAAATTAGGGTTATCGTGATCTCAGTGTCTCATAGAAGATACCGTCCTAAAAATTTTGTGTCTATGACATGTGTTGCTCTACTTGTCGAGATCTATCTGCTCAGAAAATGTTAAATTTTTCTGATAAGCCGTTCTTCAGTTACCATGAAAACGCTTAAATGAAACCTACTAACGAGAGAATGTTTTCAACTGACTAAATGCTGTTTTATCGAAAGCTGATGGATTATTGGTTATCGACCATGCGCTGATTTCGAATATAATCATAAGAAATGTTGATATGTATCTATGGTAGAAATTAAAATAGTTATACTTTCTGCAAAAAAGAAAACGATTTGAAATAGAAAAATCTACCATTTCATCAACAATTCAATATTCTCTATAAGTTGAACAAATCAAAAATTTTTTTATGACGAAAAGTTTGTGCAATCTACTAGCTTTCGATGAAAAGGCAATTCGTCAATTGAAAACATTCCTTCGTAAGTGGTAGAAAGAAAAAATACAAAATAATAGTTATTTGTTATATAGTTAATAAGAACTTATCTACGATATTGAAAAGAATATCAAAATTGAATATATAATCAATATTCATAGATCATTTTAAAATTAAAATAAAACTTTATCTCATTCGATTTCGAAATATCGATATTCTAATTTTCATTAAATTAAATACTCACAATTATTATTGTTACTATTAGTATTATTATTTAATGTTGAAATTGTTGTAATAGTAGCTAATGTTCGACATTCAATATTATTTTCTTGTTCAATTGTATTAGGTGATGATGATGGTGTAAAAAATCCAAATCTTAATGGACTTGTACTTGTTAATAAAAAATTATTTTGATGACAATTTTTTTCATTACTATTTTTAAGATCATTTCTTTCATCATTATTATCATAATCTTTTTTTATTATTGTTAAACCATTAATAGCATCAATAATTAAATTTTTTGTTTTAATTGTTTTTGTTATTGATGATATTGATGAACAATTATATATATGTGATAAATTACGATTTGAATAATTATTTATTTGTTTTTCATATAATAATGGTTCAAGATTAATTTGAAATGAATCAACACTAAATTGCCATTGTCGTTTAAGATGTTCAACAAATTTTAATTCAAGATTTTGTCCTGAATAATTTTGTAATGATAATAATGCCCATGAATCTTGTTCTGATGATATTTTAATATTTTTTTTTGCATATGCATCAAGTATAGTTGATAAATAATGATGTGTATATTGTTGAGATTGTTGTTCAGATGTTTTGATATTTGTTATATGTTCTAATAAACATGAACATATTGTATATTTAATTATTGTCCATACATCACATAAATATGGTTCATTATTTGATGAAAATAATGTTGTTTTTTGTTCAGATGATAATGGAGTTTTAATATGTATTAATATATCAATATCACGATAAACAAAATTTGAATCATTAACAAGTACATATGATGCAGCACCACCATTTAAACGTATACTTGTTATATCAATTGAATATTCTTTTAATTTATATAAAACTTGTCGAAGAAAATATCGAGGTGTTAAATTTAATGTTGGAAATGATGATGGTGGTGATGAACATATTGGAATTGAACGATCTAATATATGTTTTAATTTATCTGTTTGTTCACAAGTTAAATAAAATTTTGTATTATTATTATTATTATTATTATTATTATTATTATTATTATTGTTCGAATTTAATGAAGTATGCGAAACATGCATGCTTTTTTTTTCTTTGTCGTTGGCTTTTTTTCTTCTTTATTTCTAGAAGATACAAAAAGAAAGATATTATATTATTATTACTAGTTATATACATATTTCTAACTGTACAAATGAATAAGAACGACGGCGACGACCACAATGTAGAATAGCAACAATAAACAAGTAAAGAAAAAGAGATGAAATGGAGGTTTTCTTCCAGTCACGCGCACGCATAAACCATTCTCTTGTTTTTCCTCTCCATCTTTTTTCTCCTATGTATAGACGCAAGAAAGAAAGAAAGGAAGAGAAATAAGAATAATCACAATAACGACGAACAACAACAACAACAACAACAACAATGGAAAGGAAGGACTCCGGACGTTTCTTTTGAAAGAAAAGTGCTATAATAAAAAATATTATTAGTCTAGAGAATATACAGTTGATTCGATTGGATACAAAAAGTGACATCTAAAATTAAAAATAAGGTTTTCTAATATTGACATAGTGCGACCTCAAAAAAAGACACGAAATAGAAAGGTTTTCTTTGATTTTTATTTTCATATAGTAAAAAAATACAACAGAAATAGCAACAATATTGGTATATATTTACTCTATGACTAGCAAGTTTACTTAATATGCTTTGACTTTATTTGTCCATGTTCTTGTAACATCTGTCTACATAATATTAATCTTCTAAAATCTAATGTTTATTTTCTTATATTTCTATAAAATTCTAAGGATTCATTTGTCTTGTCTATTTGTTATATATATTCAATCATATGAAATAAAAGAATTTTATTCTTGAAATTTTTTTTTTGCATTAACATTTCTTTCATTCTATCAATCTTATAAAATATTCAAATACTCATTCAATCTAATTAAAATAAACATTTAACTAACTTAAAAAAAAAAGACCTACATAAATACTTTATACTTATTCATGATTTTCACAGAATTTCTTCAATATAAATAAACATTTTTTGTTTCTTTAATAAATATCTAAAAATAATTTTTTTTCTATCTTCTATTACGAGTAGTTAATTAAAGATATAAATAGGTAGAATATATCTTTCTTTTCCCCCGCATAGCACATGATTATTTATAAATTAAAGGTAAAAATATTTTATCTAAAAAAGGCAAGAAAAAAAGACTTAACAGATGGTTTCATAATACTTATAAATCACAAGAGGAGGAGAAGAAACAAATTACGAATGATAATTATTCTGATGGTGTCAAACGAATAATTAAATCTTTTAAATTTGAAAATTTTTCAATTAAATATGATCTTTTTGCACATTCAAAATCTTGATAATCAAATCCTGGTGTACAAGTACATCCACATAAAGTAAAATTATCATTTGAATCTTCACTATTTGTTTTGATTAATTCAGCTGCAAACCATTTTCCATAAGGAACAAGAATTTGTGGTCGAATATTTTTGTTAATACTTAAATCTTGACCTAATGTATATTCAGTATGTGACGAATTTTCTTCATCTAATACATGTATAATTAATGGTAAACCTTGATAAAAATGCCACATTTCATCAGCTTTTATACGATGAAAATAACTTATTGGTGATTCAGGTAATTTAAGTAAATAATAAATTGATGTTGAACATGAACGAGTTTGATTATTATAACGTTCAAGTATACATTCATCATTACTACGATATGTTTCAGAATAAAATCCGCCTTCTGGGTGCGGTTTTAAGCCTAATATATCTATCCATTTATCAGCTTGTTTATTATTTCGTCTATCTGTCATGATTAGTTGAATAGACGAATATGTCGAAATAAATAAAATACGCAAAATGATTGATATGCAGTAACTCTATATGATGACGACCTTCTTTTCAAATGAAAAGAAAAGAAAAGAAAAGAAAAGAAAAAGAAAAAAAGAAAAGAAAATAAAGAAGGACTCTATTATTACGTTACTATATAAAAAAACAAATAACTCAATTAATAGGACTATGGTTGTGCGTCATAAAATCTGAATGAACAACAAAGAATGTTTTCTACATAAAAAAATATCTAATATCACGCAATGAAAAAAAAACAAAATTTGATCTTACTAACAATTGTATGACATGTTAGAATTTAATCTTTTAATGATCAAATGCGCATAAAGTTCGGTTAAAAATAATGCCGATAACGAATGATAGTAATAATCATGAAATAATAGATTATGAGTTAGACGAACGGCATATGCAAAAAAAAAAAAAGGCAACAAAAAACAAAGAACAGCAAAATGAAAAGCATGAAAGAAAAAAAGCAGAGACAAATAGAAAAAGGAATTGCATGTTAACTATTAGTCATTTATTATGACATCATTATGTAAATATTTTTTTTAAATACTTCGACTTAATATTAACAATAATAATATTTTATTGATTGTAGAAATTTCTATACGATTACAAAATAAATAAATAGTTTTACATAAGAAATATATATCATTTATACAGAATAGAAAGAAGAAGTTATTGGAAGCAAAATGAATCAAAAATAGTTCTAAGAGAGAACATGAAGCTGAATAACATGATAACTCTACTAACAAGAAGATACATGATAGAAGACTTTCAGTATAGAAAAATCAAGTATTGATCAGATTGTTATACTCAGTATACTGAATGTATCTTCTAGTATTTTAAATGTTACATATCCACTATGATTGTGTCTTTTGTTGATGAGTTTTTATAAGTCTGATGGATATTTTATATAAGAATAACTGTTGAAATTTATATCAAGTTTTAATTTGTGGTATTTTTAAAAAATAATTTTCTGTATGCATTTAAGGTGATGAATGAATTCTTTATTTTCATCAATTAAATATCAGTAATTTGATGGATTTTTCAATGATCATAATCAATTTCCAATTTCATACTATGAATACTAATGATTCTAGAAGATAATCATTCGTTTGTCTTTATGAATCTTACAATTATTGAAAAAGAAAAGAAAATAATATTTGGCAGACTATCTATTTCGTTACACTTATAATAACATATTTAAATTCGAGTATTTTGAACGAATCATTCGTTATTAGGTTAGAAAATCTAATTGCAAACTTGCAACAATATCTTGCAATTTCATTTTTAAATTTATTTAAATTCATATATATTCAAAATTTTCACCTTAAATTTTCTAATAAGACTAATTGTAAATGAAACATTTGAATAGTCTATTTAATTTCAAATATAAATAAATTCGTTATAAGTAGATATTTTTTTTATTATCAACAAAACATTCAAAATCTTCGTTTATTTCAATTAGAATGATAAAAAAAACATCTTTCCTATAGATAGAAAAGAATTTACAAGTCAATAAAATTATAATAATAAACGAAGAATGATTAAATAGACTCAATGTGAATATCTTCTATTCCAATTTGAAATCTTATCAAACTGACGAATAAAAAAAAACAGACTGATTTTATTATTTTTACTATTTCAAATTTTAAGATATTCTCCCGATAGATTTTCATTACTAATTCTTGTTAAACGGAGAAAACAACTAATTAGAATTATATTTCCTTAATGAACATACAAGGGTGTACCGAGGTCATCTACATTGGAAGTCGATGGCTCAGGAAGCTGATTGAAAGATTTTTGCTGAAATTGACTGAATTTCGGAAGGTCAAGCGTCTTTTTGAGAATTGATGAGCAAAGTGAATGCTTTCCTACCCTGATCGTGACGCCTCTGTAAACAAACGATCAATTAGTTACTTAACTAATCAAACTTAGTACAAACTCTAATTCAAAAATTATCTTAAATTCGTTTCATGATATTACAGTTATTTAAAATGCAATTGATTTACCAATTAAATAAATGTATCAATCATACAAACTTTCTTCATTACAATTTATAGCATTGTATTTTGTTCGTGCATATTAATAAAATTAAAATAAGTCGTTCTATTAACTATGGAAATTAGCAAAAAAATTTATTTACAAACATATATTATATATTAATATATATCATATTTAGCATAGATAGAAAATTGCCGTCGTTATATCTATATATTTCCATAGTACTTCGGTAACCGTGCGTGTGCATACATCTCCTGTTGTCGAGTTTAGTTGAAGTAGAAAAAAGAAAAGACGGTTGAGAGAAGACTTGTGATAATTATGATGTGTGCGTGTTTGCAAAAGAAAATTCGAAAAATACTTCGACCGATGACAAATAAAAGAAGAAGAGAACAAGACACGAAGTGTCATTTTAAACGAAGCGGAAAAAGAAAAGTTAATTTGAAATGCTCTTTGCTTTTCTATCTTTATTCTATTTTTATCGTTTATTACATAAATCTATCATCTAAACTAAATATAAATATTAATCTTTTATATTTACCAAGAATTACATCTTTGCTAAGTTTTCAATAAAGTCATTCAAACTAATTTTATCTAACAAAACAATATTTGAAGTTTTTCTTTTTATGTTGACATGTATAGAGACTTTATTCAACATGTTATTATAACCTTTTGTAAGATATCATGATTTTACTCTATTATTGTATACTTATATTATTTCTATTTCTATTTCTGTTTGTTGTCATACACAAAATGATCTCATTTGGATTGTTAATTAGTTTTGTCATATATGCTGAGTAATTTTTGATTGCCTGTTTTTTTTTTTGTTTGATTTTAATTAATGCCCACGCCCAATTTAGGAAGGCGTGGGCATCAGCTCAATAGCTCGACAATAGCAATAACTAGTGATCTGTGGATTTCAGCAATCAGAAGAAGTGAACTATGAACATACTAAATAAGGCATAATCATTTTTAAATCTATCATTTTCACAAAATACATTTGAAATAAAAAACGCATGAAAACAATGTTGTGTTTTTATGTAACTTTGATTTTGACATGTGCTTCAGATATATAGTTCAAAACATAATTCAACTGATTATCTTTTCATATTTTAATATTAAACCACGTATTTATTCGATAAAACAATATAGAATTCTATTGATATTTAGCAAATTTATTTGACTTTTTATTCAAATGTCATTAAAATGAATCACTATTTTTATACATTCTTTTTCTTTTGACTATTTTGCATACATGATAGATTTCAAAATAGTTTTGTCTTATATAGTATCAGACAAAAACATGTCCGAAGTTCTCTTCTTTTGATTGTTGAAAATCGTAGATCACTGTCTATTATTGTTGTCGAGTAATTGAGTTTATATACACATCTCGTTAATTCTGGCGCAAACATATTAGTTAGATATAATCTACAGAGCGAAAGATCTTTGCATAAAATATTCACTCATTTGTCCAGTACTTAGAAGCAATCATTGAGAATCAAAATTTTGTAATCTTCCGAAATATATATATATATGCAAAGTTTTCTTTTGTTGTAAACTTGATCAACTATGAGAAAATTTTTCAATGATTCCAAAATGATTGTCTGTACAAAATAAAATTAAAAATTTTTGTGCAATTTATCTTTTGAAATAGTTTTAACTTGATATTATTATAGGGTATTCAATTCTTCTCAAAAGAAGCTATTATAATTAGCGAAATCTTTAAAAGATGGTTTTTTTTAAATAGAAAATATTTTAATTCTTAATGCAAAATAATAAAACAGGAAGTAACCTACTAAAAATACCATTTCATATTTTTTATTATATAGATTTTAGTCAAAATACAAAATAAAATTCTGTCTATACAATCATTTTGGATTCATTGAAAAATTTTCTCATAATTGATCATGTTGACGTCAAAAAGAAAATTTTACACCTGCGTATATTCCGAAAGAATACACAATTCCGATTCTAAATGACTGCCTTTTAATTCTCAATAATTACTTCTAAGTGCCGGAAAAATGAACGAACATTTTATACAAAGACTTTTATGCTGTAGGTTAAATTGCAATTGAGTTTATATATTATATAAATATAAGAGAAAAAAAAAACAAATATCAATTTAAATAATTTCGTTTTGGTTTAATTATGCATTTAACAAAAAATATATAAAATATGAATGGATGAATAGGAAATATTTATTCAATGGAAAATATAACCATGTAAACTATTGATAGGCCTTCATTGAAGCTTAGAGAAAACTGTGTATCTTAAGGTTTCTCTATTCTATAACCGTATTATGATAGAAAAGAAAAATACTTTTCAGGATTAAATGGTTTTAACTTTCTCATCATATAAAGGTCAAACTTTCTTTTGTCCTCAATTAAAATAATAACATGATCTTCTAAAGGTTTGAACGAAATTATATCTTTTGTTCTTCAATTTAATCCATAATTTATTCAAAAAAAAAAACAAAAAGAACACGCGCTTCATTAAAATTATAAGCTGATCATTCGATCTACTACTAGAGCAATTACATATGAACATATATGTACATATATATAAGTATATATGTATACACAAAGCAAAGATTATCAATAGTGCAAAAAAAGAAAAAATGAACAATCGTGTCATCGTATGGATATGTCAAATAGGAGGGAGAGAAATTGAACGAGAGAAAAAGGCGAGTAGGGATTAACTAGTAAGGATATTGCCTCCCAACTTACACACGTACTAAAAAGGAAAAAAGAAAAAAACGTCGCCGCTTCGAGTTTGATTACTCATTGCATAAGATCTTCTTTCCTTGTTTTGTTCATACTCTACATACTTTATATTAGTGAATAAAATTAAATAACATTCACTCATTCATCAAACGGAATTTCAATTAGGCAACAATCCTATGTTCACTCTTCTTCTTCTTCTTCATCTTTTTTTTTTGTTACCTTATCCGGTCAAAATAAAGTCAAAGTAGAAGTAGGACAAAAAAAAAGGAAGAGATCAACATAGTTTTGTGTGATTGAATAATCGCACATTGTTTTTTATCTTATCAACCAATTGTGGCTCATGGCAGCATCATCAGTGAGAAGACATGCGGTTTGTCGTGTCGTTCGACCTCTTTCTTCTCATCAGTTTCCTACTACAACATTTACATATTTGTTTAACACATGTTGAAAATAATCGTTTATTCTATGCTAAAGTAAATTAAAATAAAAACAAAAGTTTTCAATTAAAAAAAAAAAATTAATGTTCTTTTTCGATTTTATTTAGGAATTTTTAAATCGTTTTGGTTATATAAAAACAAATGATTCATCATTAGATATATCAACATCAGCTGTCCGAGCATTTCAACGTTTTATTGGTCTTAATCAAACAGGTATCATTGATGAATTAACATGGCAAAAAATGCGTGAACCACGTTGTGGTAATAAAGATCTTCGACGTATTCAAAGAAGAAAACGTTATATTCTTCAAGGTATATCATATTGAAATTATTTAATTAGTTATTTTTTTTTATTTGATAAAAATTTTTGTTTTTTGTGTTATTCTAGGAAGTCGTTGGCCATCTAATGAACCATTAACATTTCGTATAGTTAAATATCCAACAACATTTCCACAACAATTTGTTGATGCTGAATTAACAAAAGCTTTAAAGGTTTAACATTAGTATTGTTATCTTCATGTGAAGTTTTTTTTTTTTCTATTACTCCTTTTAGTTATGGAGTAGTGCATCAAGTCTTGAGTTTGAACATCGAAAATTAAAAAAACAGGATGAACAAAAATCTAATAATTTAGATCATAAAACAGATATTAGAATATCATTTGAAATAGGTGATCATGGTGATACAGAACCATTTGATGGACCTGGTAATGTACTTGGTCATGCATTTTTTCCTCAATATGGTGGAGATGCTCATTTTGATAATGATGAATATTGGACCATGAAAAGTGTGTGAAAATATATTGATAAATTTAATTATTGCATATTTTGTTCTTCATGTTTTTTTTTCAAGGTACAGATGGTGTCAATCTTTTTCAAGTTGCTGCACATGAATTTGGACATTCATTAGGATTAGAGCATTCAAATAAACCAGATGCTATTATGGCTCCCTGTATGTATATCATTTAAGGTCATAGTTTCTTCCTTTAGTGATTCAAAGTTATGACCATTAAGAGTTTGGTGCCATAGGATAATTTCGATCTGAAACTTCGCTCTATAAACAGATCGACTGATTAGTAGAATATCCTCAAAGTTTTAGCAGAAAAGAATGTTCCTTTGTTGAGATATTGAATTTTCAAGTAAACTCGATTTTTGTGGACAACGACCATTTTTTAGAAATTCAATATTTTAACAAAACAGTATTCTTTTCGACTGAAACTTTCAAGATATTCTACTAGTTATTCGATCTGTTTATTGGCAAAATTTTGGACTGAAATACCCTAATTTGGTTTTTTCATAAATACCTAAAATTGGATCTAAAATTTAGTAGAACGGTCATAGCTTGGCTCGAGAAGCTCATAGGAATGAACTCTTTTAGGATCTCTCAAGTCTTACTTAGGCCTCTTTGTGAATACAATATGGTCTCAAATGATAGATATCGGTACGGGTAGTTCTCTTGTGAGTACAAATCAAATTTATGTAACAGAAATAGCGAATTATGTTTTTCTCAAACTAACGTTTTCATTAAAAAAATTCCAGAAACGCTCCTATTTCTCCGACCCAATACGTCCGATCGAGCAGAAGCTTTTTGAATAAATATTATACATTGTTTTAGATGGGATTTTGTTTCAAAAAATGTTGTTCTGCTGATTTTTGTCCGAAGGTCAAAAAATAACAAGATACTCACCCCAAACAGTGTCTAGTGTCTGTAATAAAAACGTTTTCAGCTCAATCGAACATAGTATCTCGAAGAAATGAATGCTAAAATTGTGATAGCAATATCTCATATTAGACAGCATCCGGACATTTTGAGTTTATGACAACTTTTGCTTTACCTGTCATGAAAATTTCAAATTTTTTTAATGAGTCGTTCTCCAGAAACTTCAAAAAATGGGGGGGGGGGGATACCTTTAATAACGGAGAAGATATACAATAGTATTTTGAGATATTGAATTTTTCCATTTGATGAGACACTTGTATACGAATGTTTGCTTTTTTTTTTAGTTTTCAAAGGTTATACACCGAATTTTACATTACAAGAAGATGATATTCGAGCTATTCAAGCATTATATGGTATGTCTTCTTAATATTGAGTTTTTTTTTTTTTGAATAAAAAGAAATTATTTACTCAATAGGAGGAAAACCATCAAAATCATTTTCTTCACCATTATCGAATAGTATTGAAGCTTATCAAGCTGTATCAAAACAAATGGCTCCATCCGTTAAATCATCAAATAAAAATTCAGCTATATGTCATGATCCTCAATTTGATGCTATTATAACAATCGATGATGATACATATATATTCAAAGGCATATAAAATTAAACTATGTAGAAATCGAAATAAAAAAAAAAGATTCTTTTTTTTTCTTTTGTTGTTTAATAGATAAATTCGTTTATCGACGTTCAAAATTATCCATGGATAATGATTATCCAAAATTAATTCATGATATGTTCGGTCGTTGGGAAGGTGGTATATGGCAAACAATACCTGATCAAATAGATACAGCCGTAACATGGCCTAATCAACAGATATTTTTTTTTAAAGTAAAATTCTTTTCGATTTTTTTAAATATTTTTTTTTATTTTTAGGGTAAACATTATTGGAAAACAAATCGTTTTCAATTACAAGCAGGTTATCCACGTTTAATTAGTGATGGTTTTCGTGGCCTTGATGAACAACATTTTTTTACTGGTCATCTTGATGCTGCTTTTATTTATAGTGGTGATAATCATACATATTTTATTAAAGATGCTATGGTATGGCGTTTAAATATAAATATAGAATTTACTAATTCAATTGATATTGATTATCCTCAATTTGTTTCAAGTTGGTTACATATTGGAGAAAAAATAACAAGTGCATTACAGTGGATTAATGGTCGAACATATTTTTTTTCTTATAAATCCTATTATCGATATGATCATATCAATCATCAAGTAAATAAAATGGATTTTAACAAAAAAAAAAAACGAAAATTTATTTTATTTCTTTTTTTGTTGTTTTCTTTTTTTATTTTGTAAAAAGGTTGATGATTCGTATCCAACATATCCTCGTCCAATATCTGAATGGTGGCTTCAATGTAAACATGGAGCATCATCATCAGAAACATCAGGAACAGCAACATATTCTCATTTATCTCGATGGAAACGTACAGCTATTATATTCGAATCAAATTATACTGATTTTGATAGTTTGAATCATAATAATGGACAACGAAAAATGGAACAAAATTCATTTCTGATAAACATTTTTCTATTCGTCATCACATATTACCTGTGATACCCTTCTATAATAATTTTATTTTTTGCGTCGTAATTAGATCCGTCTCTTATATATTATTAATGACGAAAAAACATAAGAAAACATGTTGTTGATGAGAATCGATTTTTATAAAAAATATCGTCGGTCGTTTTTTTTCCATAGAAGCGATGAACTGTGACGCAAGCTTTTCTGTATAGAAAAAAATAAAATTTATTAGTATGTACTTGAATATATAAAAATCTTGTGGTTGTGTATAGTGGTATAATCATGTGTTTTGCTAATAATTCGAATAGAAAACGTCAATGTATTTTCGATTACTCATATAGTATCAAGGTTGCTTTTTTTTTCTTTACCTACATGAAACAATAGGCAAAGCATTCATGATTTATTGTCATTGTTAAAATCGTTAACAATCACCAAAAAAAATCAAAACTATTGATAATGACAACAAATGAATTAGTTGTTTTATTTTGCTTTTTTTTTTTTCTCTCTTTTCTCTAGCCTTTACCTGCAACATGGTGATGTTGTGGCTGACTCTATGTAGTAGTTACGGATGAATGAACATCGGGTTAACTCTTATAAGAAATGATTAATATATTAGGTGAAGGATGTATACAAGCGTTGAAGAAAGAAAAAAAAAAAAGAAAAAGAAAAAGAAAAAGGACAAAATGAGGTTTTATGTGTATGAATGCCTACAACGTATAGATACCCATCAATTAACAGTATAATTGTAGATATTAACAACCTTGAAAGGAAAAAAAAGGGCTACCATGATCGATTTTTTTTCCTCGCGAATATTCGCTTATCTAAATGGAGTATAAAAGGCGCTGTTTACCAATGTATAGACGCTTTTTTCGAAGCTGGTCGGTTTATAGTATCCTTATTTTTTATTTATTTTTATTTTCTATCTTAATTAAATTTCATCATGGTTGCCATTGATCGTGTTGGACATGTTTATCCATCAGTTCATCTTCAAGAGATGCTTCATCTTGCTCAAAAACCCGCACCATTAGCAACACCAACAAACTATGCTAGTGCAGTATTAAGTGATCCAGTTGCTAGTGTGATGAATGGTGGTGCAACACAAAAAATTACACCATCACAATTTGGTCTTGCTGATAATCCATCATTGCAATTTACAACACCTGGTGGCGGATTTGTTCAAGTATTTGGTCCATTGAAAACACCAGGCAATGATAAATTCTTTCACGATCCCAACCCAGTTGTTATTCAAAAAAAATCAAAACCAGTTACATACGTACAAAAAATTAACTTAGCTTACTATAAACCACCAGCTCCACCAGCACCTGGCCCAGTTATCATAAAAGAAGTAAGATTTTGAGAAAAACAAAAAACAAAAATTTTTCATTATACATATCTGAATTTTAAAGGTTCGTCCCCCTCAAGCACCAGTTCCACCACCTCTTTTTGTTCGCATACAACCACCACCGCCACCTGAACAAGCACCATTAGTTATTCGTGAAGCTCCACCTCCACGACCAAGACATATTCCAGTAAACATTATTATCTTCTTTTCAATAAAAATATAGATTTATAATTTTTTTTTCAGCCAACTTTATTGACCAAAGTATTACCACCTATTCCTGTACCACCACCCAAAGTGCATGTGCGTAATGCCCCTGATCATGCAACAGTGGAAAGAACCTTAAACAACATGGGTCTTACATCGCAATAGACTAAATAACATAAAAAAAACAATAAAAAAAAAACAAAAAAAAAAAAGTTAACAACTTCTATTTTCTTTCAATATCCTCTTGTGTGATGAGTTTAGATGTGCTATTTTTATATCTATTCTCTTCCTAAATATTTTCAACGGTGGCTTGTGCGAGTATGCAATCAATCAATAACCTATACTTCTATTAATATATCTATCTGTTAATCCGTCTTATTGTATTCTTTTTCTTTTTTTTTTCTCAATTTCTCTTTGACACATGAAATGTGATCTTTGTGTCATCATTCAAATTGTACCACAATTTTCTGTAATTGTGTCCTGTGTCGTTCATTTGACAAATTTTGGTCGTTGCTCATAAATGATACGGTTGATACGATCAGAAAAGTACGATAAGTTTGGAAAATATAAGCACGATACACATATGCACACATTTCGAATAGTCAGTGTTTAGAAAAGTATTCATAAATATTAAAAAAAAAATAAAAAAAAGAATAGATGTGACATTCTTGTAAAAAGAAAAAAGGAAACTTGTCATTTTAAATATTTGTTGATATAAAAATATGAATGACTTTATCTGTTGTATACGCTGATCAAAGCGTAATACGATATTTATTTTATCTGCTTATTTTTAAAATGATTATTCAGCAAATTAGCTTTCGTATAAACAAGATTATTTTGTTGTGTATTTATCGTATTTGATCACACAAAGAATATATAATAAGCAATTAATACTTGTTGTAGATGCGCAATTTTTTTTTATCGATAAAAACAATGGATGACGTTATATAAGATATGCGTATAGATGATTTGATGTCAATGAAGTATTATTGTATGATTAGTTACAGAAAATAAAAGGTTTTGATTTTGAAATCATGACAAAAATAAATAAGTTATTTAGAAATAAAATTTGTGATCAATATAAAAGCCTTATTTGTATAAATTATTTTATGTTATAAATAGATAGCATGAAATAAGAATGAAAATTTAAATGTATTAATTAATGGAAAAAAGAAAGAAATGCTTGTTATCGATAATCGATTTTTTTGAAATAGACAATACTTTTAAAATGAAGTATTGTTCTGTGTCGATTTTTCAAGTAAATAGGAGTAGATTATAATTGTTATATATACCATTGAATGAAATAGATACAGACACATATTTATTAAGACGTATTATTTCAAAATGTGAATATAGAGGAAAAAAAACCACATATTACAAATGTAATTATATCAGTGAAGAAAGAAGAAATTTCAACAAAAAAAAAATCGTTTGTTAGTAGAGCATACTTTGAGTAGACTTGCTGGAATTTTAAGATGTTACGTTTTCAAGTAAAACATTGAAAAAAATACGGAAAACTATTTTTTAGAGCTTATAGAATGGGTTTTTACAATATGGGATAAACTTTTCTTCTGTCGAAAATATAAAACTAGCCAATTTCATCACTATTTCGTTATAGTTTTTGAACAACACTGACTAATAACATAAAGGCTTCACTATATCTACAAAAAAAAGAGAATCAACGAATACATAATCATTAAATTCTACTTCTATGTATTAATCATTTGTATTTATGAGGAATCTTCTCCAGATCTAAACTCGCTTTTCTGTTAAGACAATTGTCATTCACATAGGCATCAGTATGCAGTTAAAAATTTGTTCCTGATTTCAACCATTTTTTTGTGTTGTAACATTATTGCTAAGCATTTTTTCAAAAACACTCTGTTATTTTCAACGTTCGTTGTTGCCAACAACGACTTGTTAATTGTTGATTAGAGATTGTTTTTAAAAATCAAATATTGAAACTATTTGATAAAATCATCAATGAACTCAAAGTTCTACCATCTAGAATAATAATGTCATCTATTTATACTGAAAATATATGTAAATCCAATGAACGCAAATATTATTCATAGATATAGAGTTGTAGGCTTTCATTGTTATAAAGAAACATTGAAAATTGATATCTCATAAATTATATTACAGAGACTAAATTTTCAGATAATCATTACCAATATGTTTTGTCACTTATGCTAAAGTGTGGGTTGTAAACAAGATTCGTTTGTCAAGATATGAGAAGTTTTCGACAAATAATCACTACTCTGATCATAAATCGAAAATTTATTATTTCAGTTCAGGAGATACATGGAACCGAAACTAAGATCAAATTTTTAACTACTCACTAGTGCCTATCTAAATAACAATTATATCCACTGAAAAGGGTGTTCACACTTGAAGAGGTTGCTTAGTTAGTTTTAGAACATGATAATAAACGTTCGTATTAATAACAAATCGAATTCAGTGTGCTGAGAATAAACAATTGAAAAAATGCATCATATTATAAAACTAATCAGTATGAAACATTATTTCGAATGTGAACCTATTTCGTATGCAATTGATTCACATGAAACCATATGTATGTGGCATATAGTTTCATACAAATGACGATCACATGAATTTAGTTTCTACAATTTCAAATGGTCTCACAAAACTTTGTGTCAGCAGTTTTACACGTAAGTTTTATATATTTTGCACTAGTTGTTAAGGCAAAAAGTTATTTGTTTCAAACACTATATAGAATATATAAAATTAACAAATGCTGAACTCATTCTATTATTCGATGAATTAAATTTCATTATTCATTTAGTGTAGCAAAATGATTGTACTTGTAATACCTTCAAACAACTGCAACGGTGACTTGAGCAGAGTTAACGATTTATTGATGAGTTATAGGATGAGAGAAGGCAATAGTTAAAAATTGAAATTGGTCTGAAGATAGACAAAGAGATGAAAAAAAAAACTTTGAGAAGTAAGTCAAGTTACAAAAGAAATGAACAATAAAGGTGATGCTTAGTTCAAACAAATTGAAAACATCAAGGAAAATATGGAACAATGTTGAAATCAATGCAAGCGATTCAAACTCCGTGACCTCTGATATTTAGATAAATTAAGTTCGAAGAAGACAGTATTGACTGCCAAAACGTTACAACAGGAATAAAACATATTCTACAATAATCAGGAAGAGACTTATTGAAAAACAACTAATAATCGTTCCACATAAAATCCTACCCAACAAAATACTTAATAAGGAATGTTTAGGTGCTGATTTGTGGTAAGTCTAACTTTAGTCTATTGTTTGGTACATATGATGTAATATCAACGATAATAAAAACTTTCAAAGTAAGTGATATCAAAGTTTATGGATTGATATAATTCTGAAAACATAATATTTATGTTTATTTGTGGGAAAAAGTATTAGATATCTTACAATATACATCGGAATATGTCATCAGTAATCGCATATGATTTGTATATACATTTGTTTTTGAAAGTCAAAGCATGATAGTAGAATGTTTCAAATCTAAGCGAAACTGTTCTATTGTATGCATCCACTGTTCATATGAATCAAATTGTTAACGTTTCCTTTCTTAATGAAAAACTTCAATTATAACTTTCTGCATATGTAACCATGTTACATGAATAAAATGAAATGAGAATATGATGAATGATTATAACATGTGAAAATATATATATAACTTATCAAGGAAAAGTATCTATCGATACTTACTTGAAAAAAAAATCGCTTTCAGGTTTTCAGTAGATGACGCTTAAGAGCAGCACCGTACCTTAACACGAATGGCGTTTTTTTTGATCAATGAGTTTGAAGAAAGTGGAAAAAGACCTTTTTTATGTCTTATAACTTAGAAGAGACATTATAGAATATATGATAAATTCATTGACATGTGAAATGTAAATCTATGCAAGTCAGATATATCATTATCTATTTTTCATTACATTCTATGTTGATCTATAGGTTGATAAATAGACATTTATATTCGAGCATTACCTTGTGAATCTTAGTAAAATTAGTTTCCATCCGATTTGTTTGATAAAAGTAATATATTTTTTTTGTTTCGTAAAAAAAAGCATAGAAACTTTATGTGTTCAATTTTAGAATTGTATAAAAAAATTATTAGATCAGTAGCGCGCGGTATTGAAGATATGTTGAGCTTCATCGTACAAATGTGATGCTAATAGTCTCTATCTGTAGTGTAATAAGTATGCCTATCCTAAACACTCTTTCTGGAACATGTCTAACTAGTAAATGAGAAATTTCTTCTTAAGTTCGATTAAAAAAATTCTATCATGAACAATCTTCAACAATCGGATATTATTCATCTTTCTCAATTACTTATCGAACAACATGAACACTGATGTACAGAAAGTTAAACAAACAATCGTTGAGTTTAATGATGGGAAATCAAAGATACTAAATAAAATTATTTAATCAAAATGGACTAAGAAAAGATTGAATTCAAAACAACTTGATCAGTTTACAACGAAAATACGCTGATCAAAAATATCCTTCGTGTCAACAAATGGGGAAAATTGAAAAATATATCAAGCCATTTGCAATACTATTCAATGTTGTAGAAGAAAAGTCTTTTTTTTTTTTTGTCGAAAAGAAACTTATGGAATTGATTCATTATTCTCTAGTAATTAAACCGAAACAATTCATTTCTTTCATAGATGATGATTCATTTCTACGATTTGAATATCAAATTCAGTTAAATGAATACGGTTTCTTTGAAATTTTTATTATAAAACAATAACTTGTAAATGATTATTTTCTTGAATTTCAGATATTTTTCCAAAATTAAAATGGCTTCTTCAAAATGTTCTGTCGATGGATGTAAACGCAATTCTGATACTCTATGCGAACATTGCCAAAATCAAGTCTGTACCAAACATTATATTGAACATGTGAAACTTGCAAATAATGAACTCACCACTCTTTCCGATGAAATCAATTTAATGGTTGATAAAATACAACAACAAGATCTTACTCATCATGTTTTCGAGCAAATTGAACAATGGCGAGAAGAAAATCATCGACGTATTGATGAAATATGTGATGAGAAGAAACGACAGTTGAAAATTGAAATAGGTCAAAATATAGATAATCATATGAAGAAACTTCATGAATTAACTCGAGAAGTAAAAGAATTGATCGATGAAGGAGATGCTTCATTTAAACAAATTGAACACATCAAAAATAGTATCAAAAAATGTCGAGAAGAGTGTAAACAATTCGAAATACCTCATCATTTTCATTCGGATTTAAAACTAGTCAATTTGAATATCACGTTATTCAATCATGAATTATTTAGAGGTGATGGTACACTATTATCACCTGAACATCAATTGAAATTGAATGAATTCTATGGTAAAGAAGGACAAATATGGACATTGATTTACAAAGCAACACGAGATGGCTTTTCTGCTTCTGATTTTCATCGATGCTGTGATAATCAAGATTCAACACTAACTGTTATTCAATCAACAGAAGGTGGTTATCTATTTGGTGGATATACATCTGTTTCTTGGCGTTCAACAGAAGGCTATGTTCTTGATCCTAATAATCCATTTTTGTTCACTTTAACTAATCCACATGGAATTCCTTCAACTAAGTATTCAAACAAACATCCAAACTATTCTATCTATGCTGGTAATAATTATGGTCCAACGTTTGGTGGTGCTCACGACCTATATATTAGTAATAATAGTCAAACAAATAGAAACAACTACTTTGGTTTTCCTCATTCCTATAACGACACAACAAATCGAGGTGCATTGACTTTTACCGGTGACCAAAACTTTCGAACAAATGAAATCGAAGTTTATCGACTAATAGAAACATAACAATACTGTTCTTCATATTATTTAAAAAACAAGAGATTATCAGCTACTTTTCTTTTAACAAAGGTATTTTAATACGATCTTATTATTCATACAATTATATATATTATCTCTTTCAATATACACAACCATTATATTGGAAAAGAAAACTTGAAACGACAAAATTTGATTTTCTTCTGTTATTTTTATATTTGTATTAATAAAAAATTATTAATATTGTTGTACTCTTCTATTAATACATCTATTTTCAGGTGAGAAAGGCTTTTAAGAAGAATAGCATTTTATAAAATATAAACAGTTTTTTATATATTCTCTTTCTTATGTAAATTCCAAAATGGATTAGAAAGAGGAATAGCTTGTGCAAAAAAAACTTGGTTTAACTCGATGAATTGATTTTATTTGTCTCTAAATAGAAAAGTATCACTATAGGCTTTCCAATTTTATATAAATTTCTCTTTCGAAAAAAAACCAGATATTCAACGATTGATAGTACGTGTTGTTATTTCCATTTTATGATATTATGACATCAGTGTATAGAACTAAAATAGTACCATAGTTTCGACGTTTCAACATCAACAAAATCTATATTCATAAGATTTTTTTAGTAGGAGACTTCTCTTCTCCTGAGAATCACAGGATGATTTTTCATATTCAAGGTTACAGAAAAAGTTGATAATTCATCTTACGTTTGTATCAATTTGAAAAATCTCAATTTAGGATCATTGCAAATGATTCCCTTGGCTAAATATAAATTCAAAAGAATCCAAACATATTATATCATCGTCCTGTTTGTATTCTTTTTTTTAAATAAATTGTCTAAATAGAAGTAAAAAACCTAGCAATGAAACACAAAAAAACATAATGCAAAAAACCCATGAGTAGAGAAAAGATTATGATTTAAAAAATTCATGAGTAATTAATTGAGTGATAATATTCATAATAACAACAAGAGAAAAAAACAAACTAAAGAAATGAAAATTGACAATTGGTTAACAATATAAAAAAAAATCACTTATATAGATATATACAAATAATAATCTTATTTAAATGGAATGTTTTCTGGTAAAAAAGAAATTAGAAATCATCATCTTTTATTTGTATTCCAGGATACGTATATATTTTTATAATATTAACGATTTCCTCTGTTTTATATGATGGATAAAGGCCTGTTAGATAATTTATATTGTCGGATCCTTTTGAAAATCCATTCCAATGACCACCTTCTAAACTAATAATATCACCACGTTCAAAACTAAATTTATTTCGTGATATACTTTTATGAGATATGACAGCTCGTTGATTATGTGGACTTTGATCACCGAAATAATAAATATCATCAAGTGATTGCACACGCCATGCATCATCAACAACACGCTGTTGCATTACGTCATAAGCCACACGACACGACAAACCTAAATTTAAACATATCCTTACGATAGTAACGTTCGAGAAGATTTTTATTTTTCCAATTTTTGAAAATTCTTTCTGCAATTTTCAGTTTGTTTTTTCGACATCTTATTCTTGTTACTCTTCATCTATGTGAATTACTCAATGTTTATAATAGTCTTACTAAATAGAGAAGATCTTCTTTTTTTTTCTTTATTTTATAAAATTTTTTACCTTTGATGAAAAAGTACAAACAAGATAATCACACAATGAAAGAAAATGAATATCAAATAAAATATCTTTCAATGATTCTGTTCGATATCTTGAATTAGGTTGAGCAGATTGTGTTGCAGCTGCATCACCATAAAACACATAATCAAGATAACTTTTCATATAAATAAAAAAAAAACAAAAAATATTAAAACAAAAGAGACAAAAAAGAAATAATTCATACTTAGTACGAGCTTCATTAAAAACTGATGGATCATCACTTGCTAAGTAAACAAGTTTGATAAATTTTAAATCGGGATTTTGATATTGATATATAATATAATAATCATCAGCATTTTTCATATATTCTGATAAATCATGAAATGCAGGTTCAAGTTCAATTTTATCTGTTCATCGTATATGAACTCCTTAATCAATAAAAAAAAAGAAGATAGTTTTCAATAGAAAAAAAGAAAGCATCATCAAATCAATAATTTTTTTTATCCAATAATCGGTGTTTTAAATTTAATGGTTTCATATTTTTCCTTTATAAATTCAATTAACTATTCCTGTGATCTCAATAAATATTTTATTAATTGTCTAGCAAACAAAACAAATAGGTTACCATGTAAACGAATAAGTCGTTGAGATATATCTTCAGGTATTGCCACTGGTAGAAAATCTTCTCGTGGATGAATAGCATCAATAGATGAAATATCAACAACATCAGCTGTTTCATAACTATCGATAAGAATATTAAGATTTTCTTTTTCTATTATAATAAATGTAAATTTAGCCCAAGATGATGCATTAGAAATCATAGATATAATACAATTATGCCTTAGAGATTGAAACATTTCTTCAAATCCACCAGGATTATATTATCTACATATGTTTTTTTTCTTTAATGTTTGATTGTTTTTTTACCTTGCGGACACTATTTATTCAATATTTTTTAACTTTTGCAGAAAAAGAAACATACAATTATTATGACAAATTTTCAGTCATGAAACAGTTTTTACAATTTCGACAATTCAAGACGTGAAATATCAATATATATTTTAAATAAATTAATTGTTTCTTTCTCAAAAACTAGAATTTAAATTTCTTAAACATGCATTCAAAAATTAATTCTACCAGATAATAAAATCATTATCGTAAAATAAAAGAAATCACATTTCTGTATGATCAACGTGTAATTTAGCTAACGAACATATATTCCTGGAAAAATGAATTTTGTAATTACTTTCTAACAACAAGAAAACCATTATATAAAAAATTTAATTTTGTGCCAGTTTTTATTGAAAACAGCTGTATCATAACAGATAATAAATTAAGTGCTACTGCATATTCTATTATTAATATTATTATTACAACAATATATTTCTTTGTTTTTGTTTTCATTAATAATACTATATTCATTACAACTATCATATCTAAAAATGTCTAAATTAAAATAGATAAGCTTCCAAAAAGAACCAATATAGGCGTTTTTGTTTTATTAAAAATTAATGTGCTTAGTCATATATTAATCATGATAATAACACAAAAAAAATCACCAAGAAATGTTGAAAGTTTAGCTTGATTAAACTCGATAGTATTACTGCCACCATAAATTGAAATATCATTTGTTCATGAATAGAAACATATCAATGCTTGAATACAATTAAATTTCTTGATGAATAATCACTCTCTTGTGCTATTATTTAAATGCTGGAAATCGTGCATTTGTTGGATTAAGAATATCAGCCATGAAATAAATTGTACCGGCAAGACCTAAAAAAATCTCATTATTATTATTAAATTATTATTTTAGAATTAATAATAAAAAAAATAATAATAACCTTCAAATAATGAATCTGGATGATCAGGTGTTCTCGATAAATCATGTTTTCCATAATCCAAACAATGTTCAGCAAACTATAAAAATACAATATAAAAAATGATGTCATTTATGTAAAAAAAAAACATAAGTCTAACTTTAATAGCTCGATGAAGCCATTTCATATTATTTGTTACACGATATAGATCAAGAAAAACATAACCATTACCAGCTGCACCATGGCAAAGTCCATAACCTTTTTTTAAAAGTCCTCGTTCCCAAACAACATCACCAGCATCTACAGCAAGATCCAAATACTGTTTATTATCTGTCGTCTAAAACATATGAACAGAATCATCTTATTAAACTACGCTTAAAACGTTTGTAAATTCAATCGTTCTCATGCCATTGACTTACTTCATATGCTCGAACAAATAAATAAACAAAACCAGGTGCTCCATGACACCATTGAACAAGTCTATCAGATGTACTATTACTTGATGATAAATAATTTCCACTTGGTAATCGTTTTGACGTAAGAAATTCAACAGTGGGTATTAAATGTGATTGAACATAAGATTGAAGATTCGAAAATGAATCATCGCATGCTACCTATAAATAAATTTTTTTTTCTATGTGAAAAAAATCTCTCTTTCCAACCTTAAGTAATAGATAAATGATTCCTGAAACACCATGTGCTGCTCCCAAATATTCACTATCATGCCATTGATACATTAATGGAGATCTTGAACATGATTTCTTGGCATATTTTTCACCGGATTTAATAATTGCTTCGAATACCTATTAATATAAAACAATAGATTTACAGACTTTTCTGTCCGTTGATTACATAAAAAATTTATTCCGGTATATGAACAAATAACAAAAGAACAAAGAGAGATGACCGTCAAACGTTTTTGATAGACGTTGAAAAGTATCTCAATTAAAGCTCATTGGGTCTGAGTCTAAAAATTTTGAGTCGATCGAGTCTGGATCCGAATTCGAAAATTCTTGAACCCGATGGGCTCTAATTTCAATCCAGCAGTTTTAAACAACATTGAAAAATGAATATAACCTTCATTATAACGTTGCCACAAGTTTATTAAACATTTATCTGTTATGACTGAAGGGATGGATTCGAAGAAAAATGAAGAAAAGTAAATCCTCACATAAGAAGTTAATTGGAATAATTTTTTTATGTAATTAATAAATAGTAAATCGTGCACACGCTATTATTTACTTCAGTAACAAGTTGATTATCAATAATATCATTTCGAATTTCTCTTCGAAGATACATTAATGCATAAAGATAACCAGCACGTCCATAAAGATATTCATCTGGTGTTGAATCACTTAATGCATCATTTTTCATCGATATAATTCTAAGAGAAAAAAAAATCCAACCGATAATCAAAACAAAACATATACATGCATTTATTTACTTGTCGATATATTTATTCACTAATTTTTGATCATTTAAATCATTATAAATTACTGCTGCAATCGCCAATGGTCCAGGATCACCATTCAAAAATGAAACTCGTTTACCTATATTATATTTAACTATTAAAATTAAACGATAAATATAAATTTCCTACCTTTAAGGTATTCTAAAGATGAATCAATTAATGTCTTTGCTTTAGATTTATAATTATCCTTTTCAGATGGAAAGAGTATTGCAAGACGTAAAAAAAGTAATGCGATACCTATCATTTTTAAAACTCATATTATCAAAGAGAACAATACAAAAAAAAATTTTGTTTTTCTTACCAGCACTACCAGTATATACTGTTGTATCAGATAAATCAGTACGACTAATATGTCGTTCAAGTTTATGTGTTTTATGTTTAATCCAATGAGTTATATTTGAATTTATTTCTGGAATTAACTAGATAGTAAAAAAAAACAAATATTTATTAATTGAAAAAATATCAAAAAAAAGAAAGCAAATAACAAACTTGATTATGTGAAGTAAGATAAGTTTCGCTATTATAATCAGTGTAATTATTTTGAAAATAACGATCAGTCATGATCGAATAATTGTGTAAACAGAAAAAGTTCGATAAGAATATACTGAAAGAGTATCAATGAGTTACTTTTTAATACAACAACAACAAAAATAAAAATAAAAATAAAGAATAAAAAGGTTATCACAATACATAAATTCGAGATTTTGAGTTTGTAATTTTAGTTAACAAAAAAAATTAAAAACTATAAATCAGTTTTATCATTTTGTAAATGTAAATATTCATCAGTTTCTTTATCATTTTCTATTATCTGTGTTGACGGATTATCTTCGGAATCAACAGGTTTAGGTGTACTTGTTTTTCGTTTATTATTTATAACTTTTGTCATTTCATAGAGAAGATCAGTAATATGATGTTGATGCTAAGAAAAAAAAATAATGTTTCTTTTTATCCTAAAAAAAAAATTCTTTTCTATTATTACCACTCCATTAATTCGTTCAACTTCAGTTGTTGTTATTTCACCATCACCATCGACATCAACAATATCATAGAACTTAAAAAAGCAACATATTTTTTTTTTTGTTAGAATTTTAATGAATAAACCTCTTCAAATATAGCTGATGCTTCTGAATCCGATGACAAATCGTATGATAAATGCTAGACCAAGTATTATCAATTAAAATACAAATTAAAAAAAAAACATATATTCTATTACTTTAGAAAATATTTCCTGCCATTTATCAAATCCTTTTACTTTTGAATTAACAAGATTCATTATTACATCTCTAAAGAAAAAGAAAAACAAACAAAAATAATAATCTATACAAGAGAAAAATAATATTTTCTTCTTTTACCTAAAAGTTTGAGGTTCAGCTGACCAATCAATTTGATCAAGTGTAAATGTTGCATCATATGTTGAACAATTTTTCAATTGATTTATATCAATATTTAATGCTTGATGATGTTTTATATTATAAATAACTGATATTGTATTTTCGAATGTACGTTCTTGAAATATCCAACTACTTGGAATAAATAAACAATCACCTGATTTTAGATTAGCTATATGATAATCAATATTTGCAAATGCTGGAAATTCATCAAAATCAATTCTTTAGAAAAAAAATCATTGTAAATGAATTAAATAAATATATGTGAAATACTTGTCTGGATTAATTGGTGGTCCACGGTGTTGTCCTTTTTTTGGTAGAATAGTCTTTAAAAAATAAAATAAAATTTAGTTTTTTTTTTAAATGAAGTAATCAATTGAAATTTTCTTTCTTCTTACTTTACGAACATCAGGATATTTAAGTGTATTAACAAGTACAATACGTTTATTACCACGAAGAATACAATGAAGACGATCATGATCTTCACCGAACATTAATGGTGATGCATTAATACCATTTATAACTAGAATCTATATAGATTTATTTTTCATTTAAATAATTTTTCATTATAACAAAAATTCATACTGCAGATTGAAAATATTCTAATATAATATCACATTGTAAAGGTTTTGGAACGACAAGATATTTTCTACACAGAAAAAAAAAATTAATCAAATACAATTTAAGTGAAAACTATTTCATTATTATTCATATTATCGTTGGATAGAGTTTGATACGCTGATGGCAAATATGTGCGTTTCGATTTTATTTTTTCTATCTTCTTTTAAAAGAAAAATAATTTGAAAATACTTCAAGGGTGTAAAAATGGACAAAACTCACTCATTTTGAATAAATTCAAACTTTTGACTATTTTTTTTTTGCCAAGATTTTTCAAACTATAATTTTCCTATTATAGGCCTATTTTATCGACTTTAAAATCATAGATCTGTCTCGTATGGCAAACCCAAATGTCTTACTTCATTAGAACTTCTTGAGGCCGAATCATAAGAGTATCCATTTAGTTTTTAAAAATTTTGACTTATTAGTGAGAACATGAAAATCATTGCTCTAAAGAGCAAAATTCTACAAGAATTCATCCAAAATTCAACCATTTCGAGCATCGGACCATCAGAAAAGAAAAAATTAATGTCATATTCTTCATCAGCTTAATAAACTACATCGAGTAACATAGATTTCATCGAAAAATTTTCCTGTAATTCACCCGGAATAAGTTTCTGTTACTCTTCAGGTTGACGATTTCCATTTTCTTCACTAACAATACAAAATTTTAACTACTCAATAAATACTCTTATAGTCTATCCTCGAAAAGTTCTAATGAAGTAAAATACTTTATTTCATCTCTTTGTACAAAAACAACCATACTGAACAGATCTTTGACTTTAAAGTCGATAGAATATGATTGTTATATTCAGCAATAAAAATGAAAAAAAAAATTTTATTTTTCCCAAAACGAATAATTTCTGTCTATTTTTACACCCTTTGAGTATTTTCAAATTTTTTTTTGATGTTTAAAGAAGATAGCGAAAAAAAATTCGAAGTCTATAAATTCGTTATCACTACGTCAAACACTATCCAACGATTTCTAAAACAAAAAACAAAATTATTTCTCTTCGAATTTTACATTATTCGTACTTCATATTAATAACATTTTACTTTTGATTGCACAAGTGTCTCTTATTAGAATAAGATGATTCACATTATTCTCTCATCTTACGGGAACCATATTTTTTCTTTGTTCTCATATACTTAGAAGATTAATAGTGCAAAGAAAAAGCAGTATGATTTCTTGTTGAGATGAGCCGACATATGTCAATACAAAGATTGATAGACTTCTCAATTGGTGAGAGAAATTATTTTCTAATGATTCTTACTGAAGAACTGTCGGTACATTATATGCAAATAATAATGGTTCTTTTCCATATCGTTTTAAAAATTCTCCAAATGTCATTTGAATTCTTTGTCGTTGTTTTGATTTAAATGATTCAACTTGAATATTTGTATTTGATAATCCATAAACATCATTTTCAAGTTTTTTATCTGTTTCCCATATAAAATAATGATTATCATTAATTAATACTTGACGAGAAAGAATTGGTTCGGATTTAGGTAAATAATATGTAAAAAGTTCTAATACTGTTGGAAATTCTTCATCTAATTCTTTAATATCAATTAAAAATCCAACTGAACCAAATGGTTTTAAATGACCACGATTTTTATTAATAGTGACAACAAAATGAATTATTGTCACCAAGTAAATTAAAATTAAAGAATTCATCTTAAAAAATAATGCAAAAGAAAACAAACATTTTCTTAAAACTGTAATAAAATAAAAAGAATTCACAGTTATAATATTAAAAAGAAGCAAAGGAAAAAGAGATTTTTAAAAAAACAATTTAGCACCATAAAATAAATTTGTCTATAACTCATCATGTCCATCAATATAATCATTATCTTCTTCTTCTCCTTCTTCTTCTTCTTCTTCTTCTCCAGTTTCATCACCGGAAAATGTTTCATTAATACGATGATTATTATTATACATTTCATCATCAATATTATTAATAGATATATTATTTGATTGATTTGTTTGATCTAAGTTAGCATCAACTATATCCAAAATATCTTCAATAATATCATAAGCCGCTGTTATTTTCTAAACATAAAAATAATAAAAAACCAAAAAAGAAAATAGATTTTTGTTACATTATAATCAGAAAGAGATTCAACTTCATTAATTGTTATAAAACCATTTTCATTCGCATCGACTATATTAAAGAACTAAGCATGATATAGATTAAATTTCTTTTTTTTTTTTGTCTTTTAATATAAAAAAGAATTACTTCAGCGAAAAGTGTAATCGTTTCAACATTTGATCGAAGATCAAAATCTAAATCCTTAAAAATAAAATATTAAATAAAAATATTAATTTTTCAAAAAACAAGTTCGTTTTATTTTTGTTACTTTTGAAAATTCATTTGTCCATTGTTTAAAATTTGTTTTTCCTTCATCAACAAGATCAAGCATCAAATTTTTTAAATGCTCAATATTTGGTTCTTCTTTTGGCCATTCTATTGTATCAAGTCTCATGAAATTTGATTTATTCATTAATAAACAAGTATTTTCATTAACAACAGCATTTTTAGCTCGTTTATGATTGAGCCAATAATTAACAGCTATATTACGATTATTTGAACGAACCTGATGAATCCATAAGCTAGGTATAAATAAACAATCACCTTTACTCAAAGTAACTTGATAATAATGGATATTATTATTATCAAGTGAAGGATATTTGTTATAATCAACACTAGATGAAAAAATAATCATAATAATAATAACTTGATTTATTTATAATAATTATTTTACCTATCGACATCAATCGATGAATATGAACCTGAGTAATTATCAATAATCTAAATTATGAATAGAATTAGAAAGATTCACAAATTGAATATTTATTAATTTCTATTTAGAAAAAACTTTGTAATATCAACAAACGTTATTATTCATTTTGAAAATAGAATCTATCATATTTTCATATATGAATTATAGTATCGATCGAAAAAATTTAACAAAATTGAACTTGAAAAAATTTTTCCAATATACTTCTTTTAATTATACTAATTCATATACTTCATGTGAGCCAGTATTTTGGCAAGTTTCAATAATATTTCGAAAAACAAACCTCAGAAGCAACTTCTTTGTGTGCATGTGGATCGAGAAGAACAAATTGTTTATCACCTTGTAAAACACAATTAATATTATCATAATCATCTGTATGTACAACAGATGACGTATTGCCTGAACTTCAAAATAAAAAAAAAATCAATTAATATTTTTGTTTTTGTAATTGTTTTACCTAAACCATAACATCTATAAATAAAACAAATTTTTAGTAAAAATTTTTTTTTTGTTTCTAAAGTACAAATAAACTTACAGCAACTTGAAATGCGTCTATAGCTGGTTTACATTGAAGAGATGTAGGTAGAGTAAAATAAGATCTAAGATGAGAAAAAAAATTTAAATATTTATATTGAATTGTTTATTTTATTTAAAACTTTACCGTAATAAATTTGGTACTTCTGCAACAAGATAAAGTTCTTCATATTGATATCGTTTTAAAAATTCTGTCATTGTCATTGTTAAAATATCTTGTTTTCGACTTTCTTTTTTACGTGTTTCAACATGAACTATTTCATTATTATTTGAAAATATTTTATTTAAATTTTCATCTTTATTCCATAGAGATAAATTAACATCATTAATAAGTGCTTGACGAAAAAGAACAGGATGTGATTTTGAAAGATATTTATTAAAAAATATTATTGGATCAGGAAAGCCATCTCTTAACTCATCTATTTTTTTAAATGGACCAGAAGAACCAAATGGTTTTAGATGGCCTTGATGTTGAGATGTAGATGAATATACAAAAAAACGAAAGATATATATGTATATTATAATTAACTGTCGATGATTATACATTGTAAAATATTGCCAAGAAGATGAAACGTCTGAAATAGATTATATATTTATATACAATGATAATTATTCGTTTCTTTTTTTTTTTTTAAGAAATCGATTTAAAACAAAAAAAATCGAGCAATTTATTCCATATGCTGCTGCCGCAGTATGCTATAGATGAATAAACATCCATTAAGAAGACAATATGTGCATATTATCAGTGGATGTCGCTAGTATTCGAAATGATATTGTCCTTTTTTTTTCAAAAACTAATTGATGTACATGATTATTTAATAGACAAAGGTCAATAAGAGTATATATTCTCATTAAGAAGTTTACGAAGAAAATGCACAAAGATGACATAGTACTTGTGGACATTGGTTTAAACTCTACAACAATCTATTTCTGTGAAAACTCAAGCAATTTACGAAACTCTTCCAAAAATCTGCGGCAATTTTTTCAGAATATTGATTCACACTCTTGAAAAAAATCTAACGCCATTTTATATATATATATATATATGATATTGTCTACATTGATAATATAGTTTGTATTCAAAAATAAATGTTCTGAATTCTTTGAAGTGATTTACGGTACATTGTTGATTTATTTTAATTAGAAAGAAAGTGAAGTTTTGTATATATCTTAATGATTCTTTTGTAGGCTTATTGTATGATTGCGTTCAAACTAAAATCTTTTGGTCAAATAGCTTTATAAGATATAGCTATTCATTGATTATGTGCGTCTTGACCATCAAAAGAAGAAACGTTATCAAGTAGTTGTATATGCAATGCACTATCAATAATTAATTGTCGTGTTATTTTATAAACAGTATGATAAACTTTGATTTAAATTCATTTATAGAATAAAACATATTCGAAACGTTTTTTTTTTACGATTTTCAATAGCAGTTTCAACAAGTATTGTTTCTATACAATGAAATCAAACTTTTTAATGTCATACGAGATTTACTTTATCTTATGTATGGTTTTTTTATAATGTATTGAAAAAGGATTAGAGGAAAACATTGGTGATTTCATTTCATAGTTATTCGCAAATGTCGAGCACTTTTGATATCTTTTGTTTTTTGGTGGTATTATGTCCAATCCAGAGTTCGAACGGATTGAGTGTGTTCCTTATCGGCATCGGTAGAAATGATGAGAGATTGGACCGTAACGATCAGTATACTAGCATCAGTCATTCTTCATTTTTCTTATTCTATAGTAGTTAAATCGACTCTTCGATTAGTTATATCTACGTTCTCATCACTACAGTCACCATATGGCAGTCCTTTCCTGTGTGCTTTTGACTATTTATTTTCATATTTTTTTTCTTTCTTCGCACTCATCAGTAAACAGAAAATTTCATAGCACTATGATCCATTTCAAAAAAAGAACAGTCGTGAGTATTTTTTGAATAACCTTAAATAGCAACAAGATAGAGAGCGCCGGTTTTCATCATCACAAAGAGAAAATCCAGGCAAATATAAGAAGTACTGAATGTTGATTGATCAACACTGTGCGAATTAAAAACAATATTCTGGACTCATTTTTTAGTTGATCTTGATTTCTAATATGATCAGTGAATATGGAAAATCGACATTGCTAGCTTGTTCTATTCAAAAGTTATAAAAATTTTCTTGAGATGCCTGATAGCAATTAATTGACCTGAGATTCTGACACTGTTATCTCAATATTTGTGACATGTAGACTTATTATGCTACATAGCGGCAGATTGTGAAATTTTGGAACTACTGAAACAACGATCTCAGATTATTTCTAATCCAAAAAACAAATATCACCATTCGACTCGGTATGATGGATTAAGCTTGTCTAGATGCTTTTCAAGATTATCTCAGATCAATTGGCTGAAATTAGGTCTCTCAAGAAAATCCTTATAACTCTTGAACGAAACAAGCTAACAATATTAGCCTTGCATAGATTGAAAGACAACAATGTCTCCTATTTACTCCGATCATATTAACAATCAGGATCAATTGCAAAATGCGTCCAGTAGTGGCGGAACCAGGATTTTTTGGTATGCTGTAGCTCAGCTTTAGAGCATGGGATCTCAATGAGATTTATGGAGATTGATATTGGTCCCAAATGATGACTTTCTATGAAACGATTTTTACGATCAAAGTTTGCGAAAAAAATTAGCATTTTCCTGAGCTTCCTCAAGAAATATTTAATACTTTTAGTAGTATTCGCTTTTTGAGAATGCCATTGTAAGCTACGTTGAATTTCATCGACAGATTTCAAATTTCATCTAAAAATATTCATCCGTTTAGGAGTTATGGCTTCTTGAAGTTTTCCTACATTTTAAAAAATTTACCTCAGAAGTTCAAAACGTTATAACTTCTAAATGGGTGAATATTTTTAGATGAAATTTGAAATCTGTCGATGAAATTCAACGTAGCTTACGATGGCATTCTCAAAAAGCGGATACTACTAAAAGTATTAAAAATTTCTTGGGGGAGCTCAGGAAAATGCTAACTTTTTTCGCAAACTTTGATCGTAAAAATCGTTTCATAGGAAGTCATCATTTGGGACTAATATCAACCTCCATAAATTTCATTTGGATCCCATGCTCTAAAGCTGAGCTACAGCATACCAAAAAAACCTGGTTCCGCCACTAGCGTCCAGAATATCATTTTTAAAATGTCTACCAAGAATTTATTTGATTCGTACAATAATGGTCAATCAAATTTCAGTACGTATTGATGCGCCTAGATCTTCTCTTTGTAATGGTGAAAACTACAGCTCTCTATCTTGTTCCTACCAAAAGCTATTCAAAAAATACCCACGACGCTTCTTTTTTGAAATGACTTATAGAAATTCTATATCAAACTTTCTACAATCAGTAACTCTTCGTCAGACACAGACGTTATTATTTAATTGTATATTTAATCTGCTTCCCATAATATATTCGTGATGTTGTCTCTAATATTTTTGCAAAATATATCCTGTAAACAGTAGAAGAAATGTAAATAAATCTATGGTAAACTACAATGATAAACAACTGTTCAATTCTACTTGGAGAATATAACTTCATACGAAAGTGAGCTAATAACATATGATAAGTATATTACGATGAATTTTGACCAAAATCGAATTATCTGGCACATCATTCGTCACAGAAATTTATCTTGGACATCAGTAAAAAGTGCTTGATTTGTGAAAAAAGAACAATTTTATGCTCCAGTTTTTCAGAAAAAAATAATACAAAAACTCACAAAAAAAAATCAAGAAATTTACACTAATCGGTAGCGGAAAACGCTATGTCAACCAGTCAATAAGGAATTTCACGGATCGGAGCACCTGTTAGGATCTTAGTAAAACAGTCGTATAAACAAGGACGTCTCCCACGTATTTTGTTGGCATGCTGTGGTGTATAGAATTCTCTACTGAACCGATGATATACCGTTACTAGTTACAACTCGTGTTCGATCAACCTTTAAAAATCGGAATATCAACCAAGTTCGTTTTTTTTATTATAAAATGACGTCAAAATTAAATCCTAAACTTGTCAAGTTCTTTTCCAAACCATTCCAATCATGACACGATAATGTTCAAATATCGAAGCTGTTTCATTATACTTTTTCGTATATCCCAAATAGTCATATATCTTATATATGCAATATAAGAAATTTTTATCAACATAGATCTTGAAAGATTTCTTCTGAGAAGGAAAAACTAGGTACCTTCTACTAGACTTAATTATTAAGTATTTAAATGAATAGTAGAACGATCTCGATATGTTTGAAAAAGTTAAGTAAAATAAATAATTGTTATATAAAAATAAAAGAAAAAACTTGATTTATAATAGAAAGATTTCCGATCTTTTACAATGCTGATAATATGAAGTAGTAGTGGCCTCATATAATGATCTTGTCTAAAATAGAATTGAACAAATTTATAATGCATTAAAAGCAAAATTTTTCTTCCAGTCTGTTGATTTCTATATCTTCTGAAAAGCTAAATATTAAATGACTTATAAGTAATTGCTAGAGTATTCTCTGTAAGTAGTTTAAAATAATAGCAAAAAAAAAGTAATGTGTTAAATACTTCGATAGAATTTAATTGATACGGAAATAGTAATAGCAACAATCGACAATTTAAGAACTCTACAATCATGAACTATGACCCGTTAGACTATGCCATAAAATAACAAATTCTGTATGCAGAAAATTGATCAAAATCAACTCTCCAAAAAAAAAAAAGAAATGTATCATTTCAAATGAATTACATCAATACGTAAAATATCTGTTTGAATTAACAGTTCGTTCACATTGCTATCGTTTATTAGGCATTACAATCTATGTAAGTGGACTAACAAGAATAATATATTGATTATCACGAAGAATATAATTGATATGTTCAAAGTGTTCATCGGACATTAATGGTGATGCATAGATGTCATTTATAATTAGAGTGATGCGAAACCGACTTTCATGATAATCAATTTATTATAAATGTTAGCCTCCTATTAGAATTGAAATTCTATAGAGAGAGATTTGCTCATGTTTCTTTGAAAAGTTCTTTAAAATCTTTAAAAAAGTAGACAACTTCCATCTTGAATCTTAAAATACTCTTTATTATTATTATTATTATTCCTTCAGTTTCTTATTACAATTACACTACAATAAGTAATGTATGTCTTATATTTAATTACAATCAATATAAAGGTATATCACTAATTGTTCGATATTTTGCCAAGATTTCTTTTTTAATGAATAAAATCAATTGGATACTTTGTACAAATATTTTTTTTCGTACTCTAGATACATTATAAATACTGATTTTCTTTGCAATTAATTAGATTAAAAATTTTTAGATAACTTAGAAGTATTCATTTTTGTAACACGGTAATAAAATATCGAGGCATAGAATATAAAGAAAGATTTCTTTTTTGTGTCTCGAACTTTTAAACCATCTGGTTATCGATGTTAACATTTTTTTTCTTATGTCATTAACACTCGTGCCATATCTTCATTTGATAACCTTTCTTTTCTTTTTTTTTCCATTATTGAATTGACCTCAATACTGATATAGTACTGCAACAGGTGCATTTAAAACAAAAAGACGTTCATTGTTCTTGTAAGTATAATGATGTAATTTATCGTTTTTTGAATGTATTTATGAGCCAGAATCGTTCATTTAACAATCTGATAGCTGTCAAGAATATTCTCCATTCATTTTTACATATAAAGATATCATATATATTGTGTTCTACACATTTGTCAATAGTAGGTTGTAATAAAACTTTTTTTTTCAATTCTATATACTATTTAAAAATAAAACTAATTAAAAATATTTTTTTTTTCTTTCTCTCTGTCTTCTATAATATTCATTCACGTGTACCTGGTAGCAACGGTAGTTGTTGTTGTTTTAAGACGACTCATACTTCTACGCGTTGCTTTCTTGACTATTCTCTTTTCTTGTTTTTCTTACGTGTTCTTCATTACCTATATAGGCATGCACACCTACCATATATCCATAGAAGAGAAAACGACGAAAGTAAAGAAGCATCATCATAGAAAGAAAAATGAGACTCATACTATAGTCAACATATTTTTTTTTGGCATTTCAATTCTACTACACATTATACTTGACACACAAACGAATACAACAAAAACACCGATTGATCGAGCATAATTATTGATCGATATTAAAATAAACACATCTATTATGGCAACAGCAGCCACTACTCGTTTTATATCAGTTTCATCGTCAACACCAAAAAGTCGAAATAATGAAAGATTCCCACAATTAAACTTAATTGATAATAGTATATCTTTCATTTTTTTTGCTTTATCTTTTCTTTTTTATTATAAATAAAATTTATTTTATTTGAAGATTCTCATGAAACAAATGTTAATAATAGATCCATGATTAATGTACCTATGGGTGGTGTACCAGTGAAATTTGCTGATAATCTATTCAGTATTGTATGTAATAAATAAAATCTTTTGAATAACAATAAATAAATTCTTTGGTTTTTTTTTCTTCTTATAGCTTATCAAAGATCAACTTAGTCAATTACTTGATTTACCACAAATAAAAAAACTTAATTATACTGAAGAAAATGCTATTCGGAAATTAACATATGATATAACTGAAATATTAAAACGTATTGTTGCACAACATGTAAAAGATAATTATAAAGTTATTATACAAGTTATGTCATATCCTAAACAAGATGAAAACAATACATTAATAATGAGTCGATGTCTTTGGAATTATCGAACAGATGATGTACTCTCAGTTGAAATTGAAACAGATACATTTAAATTTCTTATTCTTATTCATGGTGTTGCTGCATAAAATAAGTTTGGTTTTTTTCTCAACAAGGATTTTGATTATAATAAAAAACAAATGTATATTTTTTTTTTGTAATCTGAAGGTAAATACATCAAAATAAAAATATTTTTATTAGAGAACGAGAGAAAGCAAAGAAAAAAAAACCGCATCAGTTTAATGGAATAAAAGAATGTCTTCTTTTTGTTTTTGCTCGTTTCGGAATTAATTAAAAGTTAGCTGATGCATTAAAGACTTGTCACACACAAAAAAGTGAAGGTTAAGATATGGAAAAGAAAAAAAAAACCGAAAAGGCTTTTTCTTGCTATTAAATATCGTTCCGATTAGAAAACAATAATCATTATTTGATTTACTCAGACATTGACAGAAATATTCAAATAAATAAAACATTGAATTATAGATATTTCTGTGTTTGTAGTCGTCATATTGTTTTTTTTTAATATTTCAAATGTTTCATTCTCTGTCAAATATCAATTCTCATGTTATATTTATAAATGTCGTATCGAACTTAACATATTTATCATAGTTGTTTTGATTAAGTTAATCGGACAAAAATAAAATATTGAGATGGAATCATCAGAATAATACGTTGATTAAATAGTCAGCTGGATGACCGATGTATTTTTCTATAAAAAACATCTATGATAAACAAGGTGTTATTTATAAGAATGTGAGAAAATACTTATAGAAGGTTAACAGTCTCACTTATTCGAATTTTATATTACCCTTCCTAAGCTATGCTTTTTTTTGGTCTATTTCAAGTAGAAAAACTCGGGATATTATCGAATCATGAAAGTACGAATAAGATTTTCGTATTCAATACAAAATGACAAGAGATCGGTCATCAAATCTTGACATCGTATTCTTGTTTTCATGATTCGACAAACTCTAAATTTTCTGGCGGATACTCTTCATATGCTATTCACCTAGAGTATATAGCTGAGTGATAACATCATGATTTGTATCGTATCAATTTCAAAGTTGTCTCAATTTCAATATTAGCTTTGAGACCTTGAGTAATAGGAGTTTGGTATACAATTTACCAATACGACAATCTTTCTAATGCTCAAAATTTTTGCTTCCAAGACGACACGAAGAATAATCGAATACAAAAACAAAACGTATCTTCCCATGTTTTTTCAATTAATATCTTGTGTATCATTGATTTATTTATTTTTTTTACACAAAAATATGTCCATTGTTCAGCTGAATATTTACTCGAAGTGTTATTCTGATGATTCCATTCAAATATACAATTCTTTTTTGTTTAAGATAATCAAGATACTTTCGATACAGTATATATAAAGCAAAACTCAATCATACAGAATTAATTTGAAAATTAGTTTAAACAAATCTTTTATACATATCTATATGAGAAAGAGATCTGCTAATTTACATATAAACTTATTATATGGATATGATATATCGAAAATATTGAATCGTTGAGACATGATTTTATAAGATATATGAATGTGATATCCTCCAAATTGATCTCTGATTGATTTGTTACGATTTAATTTTTTTCAGGTTCAACTCATGCTAAAAAGAATCGATCTCAAAATCGGTGTATCTATAATTTAGCCCTAATTTGTCAACTAATTAATATATGGGAAGTAAATGATACAGATAGTTTATTATTTTTTCTATATGTTGAAAGAGTAAGTGACAAAGGAAGAAAAAGAAGAATAATAACCACAACACAATAGACTTTATTTATTTGCGAAAGAGATTTTTACCGTACCATCGGATTTTATGACCAGTTATGCATTGTCGAGCTCTTCTCTTTCATACAGTTGGAATGAATTGATCAGTTTTTCATTGACGATTAGATCGATGTTTTATGTAGTAGAATAGTTCTGGACTTGGCTGGACCTGTCCAAGTCGATCCGATCCACCCATAATTTTTCCTTCAAAAATGGTCTAGTCCAGGGGTTGTACATCTAGCAAATACTTTTTTCTAAAGATAGTTTAGCATGTTATTCTGGTTAAGATTATTTATCATTATTAACATTCTCTTATTTCGTAGATTTAATCACACTTTGTTTGTGAAAGAGGATAGCAAGACAAAAATATTTTGTTGAATAAAAAACAAAGTTTCTCAATGTGAATCGACGAATAAATTGATATTGACGGTTGGTCGACAAAATGTCTACATATCGATACGAGACCAGCAAATTCCAATCGATCAACTAAACCAGTGACATGCTTAAGTCAATCGAATTTGTTGATCTTGTGCCCACATGTCAATATTTTATTTTTTCGGAAAATTATTATTATTATTATTATTATTATTACTCGAATTTTATCTTCCTTTCTTTGTTCTCTTTTGTATGTTTACTTGCTCTTCATTACATAAATGTTTGAATCAATGAAATGAGATTGTTCGAAGAAAGAAATTTCACAGTGATTTACGCAATGTCTCCCGAGAATGTTGTATTTTATTCAAGGTTATCTTGCTAAACTATCATCAATCTATGAACTCAAGTTCATAATCTATGTAAAAAGAACATAGAAAAAAAATAATCTGACTTTCATCGATTTTTTTCTGATTGAGAATCGATCAAAACATAATATTATTGATTCTAATCTAATTTATCGGTATTTTGTATTATTTGAATAAGTTAAAATTAATATTTGTAGGTCGAAGTGTAACTTCTGTGTTAAAATTTGGTCTAGGATTATACTTATCGTTAGTTGAGCAAAGATATGCGAAAAAACAATCAAAATTTGAGTTTCAAAGTTGAAAGAAAAGAAAAGAATGTGTTTTATGATCATTGTAGTTAAAACGAATAAGAAAAAGTAAACAATTGATTTAAATTAATAAAAAAAATCAAATAATCTGCTTAAAATCAGATGAAAACAGTACCATTTTAACCAATTTTTAATTAGAATAAAAAAATTGATCAAAATCAAATATTTTCGATCTTTTTTTTTACTCGAATGGCTCGTGAACGCCCATGGCAAAATCGGATCAGTCTAATCTAACCCAACTCATTAGGAGTCCTCGAATTGCTTATAACTTCAAATTATAGATAAGTCATCTCACGAGATGCGAATACTATGTATGTACCTTCATCAGAGATGAGTTGGGAGGGGGTAGACCATTAGAGTTAAATCGAAAGACTTATTAAAATATTCAATATCTATCTAAAACGTAATATCATTTATTTAAGTTAATTTTATTAAATGATTTCTAATGCTTTAAAATCTCATCATTTGATCAATAAAGGAAAAATAGAAGCTACTTTTACTATTTTAAAACATGTATGTTTAATCACTCATTCATCTGAATAAATAAAAGCTTGAATATCAATGATCAAGTTAAATCTAGTCGGTATTGTTTACTTAACAATCATGATATTTGTCTAGTAAATTGATTACGGAAAGAGAAAAGTTCATATATAATATGATTCTAATCGTTTGAATAAATTTTTGAAAAGATAAAACTCGTCACTTTAACTCTTTTTTGTTTTTACATTTGAATATACAAGAAGCCAAATGTTTATCTATTTGTTTGATAAAATAGAAAGACATTATTTTTCGAGTGAGATTCGAAATAAAACATAGATAAATTTTCAAACAAAAAACGATCTGTCAAATCAAATGGTAAATAAATATCGGAAAAATAAAATTAATCAATAAAAGGAAAAATGAATAATTATATAAATATCCATGATTTGTTATTGTTGTTTGTGTTGTTTTATGAATTCTAATTGGTGTTGTTGGTCCTTGAAGACTATCAAGTGTTTTTTTAACTGTTGTTAATAATGGATATTTTCCTTGTCCACAAAAAGCACCATTAAAGTCATCAAAATCAAGTGACCATATCATAGCACCAGCTAAACGTTTTGAAGCAACATAATGACATTTTTTTTCAATTGATTCTTGATTATCAAAACTAACCCATTGATCATCTTTATATGCATATGGTACTTGTTGTTCTTTATCATATTCAGTATGCCATTTTTGTTTTTTTATTAATTCACATATTTCATAATAAGAAAGAAATCCATTACTAGCTGTATAATTACCTGGTAGGCCAGCACCTTTTGATGGTCCATAAGGTTTTGTATCAGGATTTTTCTTTTGTTTTAATTTAAATGTTCGACCATACATACCAAGACCAAGAACTAATTTTGATGGTGAACAACCACCATCAATCCATGTATCAACTGTTGCTTGTTGATTAAGTAAACGTTTATCACCTTTTTCACTTGAACGTGCATATAAAGGACTATTAAAACCTGTATGAGTATTCCAACTACCTAAAATTAAAAGAAAATATTTGATTTAAATTAAAAAAAAGTCATTCTTGTGAAATTAACAAACCATGATAATCATAAGCCATCAAATTGATATAATCAAGATATGGAGCAATTTCTTTTATATCATAGCCAGCTTCAATTTTTGGACGATAAGCAGCAACAGCTGCTGTTAATAAAAGACGTGAACGATCCGTTAAAAAAGCTTCATTTTGAAATTCTAATCGATAATCACGAACAAGTAAAGAAAATATACGACGATCACTTTCAGTTTCAGGAAATTCCCAATCTAAATCTAAACCATCAAATTTATAATTTCGTAAATATTTTATTGTATTTCGTATAAAATCACGACGTATTTTATCAGGTTCAAAAATAGTACGAAACTGTGTAGCATTAACACTTGCACCACCCAATGATAATAATGTTTTCATTTGAGGATTTTTATGTTTTAAAATATTAAATTGTTCATACATGCTCATTGGTGGTGGTTGTTTTATTGGTGGTTTTAATTGACCATTAAGACGACCATTACTACCAGGTTTCACAACATCATTGACAATAACAGGTGATGTTGATGGAGATGGTTTAACATCATTGACTTCGAATGGACTTGGACTTCGATTAGTAATATCGATATTAGCAAATGCATAATAAAGATGTGTACAAAGAGATGGATCAATATGTGATGGAAGAAATCGTCCAAGGCCTTGTCGATGTTGAGCCCAATTAGTAAAGTAACAACCAACAACATATTGTTGGCTATTTATTGAATGAATAAATACCGCTGCTAGCAGTAGAAAAGTTAGTACGAAGAGCTTCATTCCTCTTTTTTTTTGTTAATGTGGTGTGAACGAGAATACTATACTTTTAGTCTTCCTTCGTTTTATCTGTACCTATCCTTCTCTCTCTCGTCTTCTTCTCCTCTTTCTTCTTCTTCTATTTTGACCTGACCAAATAACAAGCAACTATTCAAATAGAGAACGGAATACATACGACCGTCGTCCGAAGACAACGATGACTAGATACACAAAACGTGATCGTACAACTGAAAGAGGATCAACATTTTCGTTTTTACTTCTCTCACAATTATGACAAACAACAATGACAAAAATTGTTACATCTCATTCTATTCTTAGTTTTTTTTTGTCTTAAGATTTTGCTTTCATCTTTTCTTCTTTGTTTCTTATGTTATAATCATCTTTTTCGTCAATCTATGTATTTATAATGCGAAAGAAATAAACGATACAGTTAAAAATATAATGCAACATCAGTTAAAAAAGAAGAACTATCAACTATGTTGTCATCGGATATTACATAAATATTTATGCTTACGAGAAGAATCATAATCGATAGATTGTTGATAGTTGAATATGATTAAAAGATGATTGTTATATGAGAAAATTTTAAAGAATACATACATGTAATAGTAAGTGATCATCGATGCACTACTGAAACAATTCTAACAAAGACAACGAAGATTCAGTAGATATCGTATAAGAAAAGTAAACAAATGAATACATGAAATTGTGCAAAATAGATAACGTCATTTTGATTTTACTTATTGAGAAACAGTCAAGAATCATGTAAAAAAGAAATAATTAATGATTGTATTAACAAAAATTTAAAGAAACTGTGTTTCAATCGAAAATAATTATTCGAATGAGCCTAAAATTATCGATAGTGTTTAAATGAACTTTATCATAATATACAAATAAATAAAATGTCATAAAAGAAAATAAAATGTATTTATATTATTGGTTTAATTTTAAAATAATTAATGTTAAAATTAATTCTAATAAGATCTCATGCTCGAATGAAAAGTCTTTTATTTTTCTTTTTTTGTTCTAACAAACTTATTATCTTTATGAGAATACATAAAATCTTGTCTCTATTCCTGATATTTATTTTTATGTCATATAGATTAATGTATAAATATGTTTGGACCTTGGCGTTATTTGGACGTTCGAGAAGACATTGATTTTTTTTAATTTTGGTTGACATGCAAATGAATGAAAATATTATCATATACGTCATACAACACATGTTGATTTATGTGTCAGTTTTTTTTTCAATAAATTACCTGCGCTTCATGATGAAAAAGAAATTGGATATTCGACAAATATCGTCATATATATATATATTAAAAGTCATTCGTCATTGTTATTTTTATAAAGAGTCTTCGTTTTTTTTTCTTTATTAGCAAAACTTTTTAAGACACTCTAAAAATTTCTTCATCACATCAATCAATTTTATCAAACATCTCTTGCAGAGCTCATTCTTTTGTTAATTTAACCTACGGTGTGTATATATATATATATATATATGTAAGTGATTAATTTTTCTCTGTTTTTCCTACTAGTGGATATGAATTGAAAATAACTTGTATCATAATATATGGTTTCACATCGACAGTATATTGAAATATACGAAAAAAAAAATGAATTGTCAATTTATTGAACAACTAAATTTTTATGATTTTTTTTTCACATTTATGATATGTACAGATACTATGAATCATTATCTTGATGTAGATAGATTGTATGAATGAACAGTAGCTGTATTCTTGGACAAGAACAACAAGGATGTATCGAAGACGAGTAAATGCAAGGTACTTGCTTATGTATTGATGAAGGTGCGATGAAGACGGAGATCGATTCTTTGCATTTTTTTCTTTTCTTGTCTTATTCGATTATATATACATAATAGAAAAAGAATCTTGCTTCAATACGTCTTTGACTGATGCACAATAGTCTCACCTTGTTGTGTGCTCCCCCCCCCCCCCCTCTTCTGTTGGTTATATTATTCATTCACCTGTGTGTCCTTTACATTAACGCTACACATATTATGACGATAGACTCGAATAAATTTCGCTTTGCAATACGATGATTGACATATTTCATTGTGCATAATAACGATGTAGGGCGCGTGCATATGTATAGTATTGTTGTTGTTGTTGTTTTTTTTTGTGATCATTTTTTTTTTGTTATTTTGCATTAACGACGAAGATTATTAGTGAAAAGTAATACTTGTTATTATTTACATTTGTAGAAATGGGTAAAGTTTTATCAAAACTTATGAAAAAAATATCAGCTGATGGTCCCAAACGTATTCTAATGCTTGGTTTAGATAATGCGGGTATGATTATACAAAAAAAAAATTACTTTTTTAAATAAATCTATACTATAGGTAAAACAACAATACTTTATCGAATGAAACGTACAGAAGACTTCCATACTGTACCAACCATTGGTATGTTAATTCATTTATTATAGTCTTAAAAATAAATTATGTGTTTTTTTTTCTGTTTTGTTTTTTAAACATGAAAGGTTTCAATGTTGAAACAATATCTCCATGTCAGGGAATTTCATTAACTGTTTGGGATGTTGGTGGTCAAGATCATTTAAGAACATTATGGCATCATTATTTTGATAATGTTGATGGACTTGTATTTGTTATCGATTCTACTGATGGCCATCGTCTTCATGTAGCTAGAGCTGAATTAGAAGGAATTTATCAACATGATTCAATGAAATCCGTTCCACTTATTGTTTTAGCTAATAAACAAGATACTGAGGACGCTTTACCACCTGCATATATAGCTGAAAAACTTAATTTACTTGCATGGCCTAATGGTTCTTATTATATTATACCATGTTGCGCACTAACTGGAGATGGTTTAACAGATGCATTTTCAACGTTAGCACAAATGATTCGACTACAAAAGAAAGGACGTTGATTATGCATGGTTTAAGAAATTTGTGTATCATAAATTGATCAATTATTTTTTTTTGTGTCAGATAAAAACAAGAGACGGTGATACTAATTTAAACTGTATTATATTTCATTCATTTTATTGTCTATTTTTCTAGAAAAGGAAGGAGTTGTTTTTTTTAAATATTGTCAGTTTAATATTGAGAAAATAGAAGAAACTTCATCGATAAGGTAATCTTGGATTATTAATGAAAAATGTTTCAGATAAGCAAAGGATAAGAAAAAAGTTACATCTCTTTTCTCTAATCATGGCGATGCATCTTGTTCCATAGTTTTCCTCAAAAATTTCTAATTGCTTGAAATCATTTTTTTCATTGTCGACTCCCATTTCCACGATTGTCTGACATGCGGAAAAAAATTGAAAAAAAAATCATTAGGTGCCTCTGTTCAACTGTATCATATGCAATATGTTCTCGATCAATCAATTAACAGTGTTCTGACTATTGAAAATGAAAGAACGATAATGCTAAAGGCTAAATTCAAACATGTTCAGTTTGCGTTACATTCTTCTTGTGTTCAGTCAATTAAATCATATGATTCAAGAGACTACTTTACTAATAATACTTGGTCTTTCTATTGTGTTTTTAAAATACAAAAAGCATCAAATTTTATATATTTGTTATATTTAAATTTGCTCTCATTTTTTATGTCAAAAATAAAATGTTATATTTGATTCTAATTTGTGTTGACATAACGTTAATGTGTAATGATCAACAGTTATTACAATTTTTGAACTTACAATGAATACTGTTATCTAGACTAAAGTAATGTTCTTAGTGACACAAAATCAATTAAAATTAAATCTTTACAGTTTTGTGTTGTTTATGTATATTAGTTACAAATGAGTTACGATTGAAAATTGATAATCTTTTTTTTTTCATTCATTTATAGTTTATCTTTTTCAGTTAAGATATGGTGAAATGTTCTAGAACATCTTGAATTGTCTTATATGTAAAAGGTTTTACAAATGTATATGACAAAAATCAAAAAATATTAAAAAGGCTTCTCGATTAGTCTTAGAGTGTATGCTATTGCTTCTAAAGTTGTCTTTTTTACTTTCTCGAAATACATAAACGCAATTTTCAAGCAGACAAAATCAACAAAAAAAAATCGTACTAAAATGCATAAAAAAATCAAACACGTTCCGAAATGTAAAAACACCATATTCTCACTTATGTAAGCCATCAATTGAGTTTTTTAATCATTTTAAATTTTAACCCCTAATAATAACTACTAAAGGCGTGCACTGTTATGGTGTTATTCTCGCTAAATATTTCCATGTGTTTTAACAACGTTCAATAGTTTTATGCGTTCATAAAATGGTCAAATGTGCATTTTACACGGTTTTGGATATTGTCTAATAGTTTAAACGCATTTTGACACGTTCGAGTTTTTAAATTAAACAATCTATTTAATAAAACTGATAAAGCTAAGGAGTCATTGTGAGAATGTTTCATGAAACTTCAATGTATAGAATTGTTGATTTTTTTCTTTATATGGATTTCTTAATTTAAAAACTCGAACATGTACAAACGCGTTTAAACTTGTGAAAATTAGAAATAAAACTGATAAAAACTCTTAAGCTTAAGGAAAGTTATTGGTTTTAACAAATTCATATCTTTCTAACACGTTTAAACACGTTAAAGAAATCGTAAAAATCGCATTTTTATGGTAGTTTATCGTTGAAACACCCTGGCAACGAAACTTTAGAGGATTTAAACGGTTTTTTGAAGATCTTGTCTATTTTGGAAAATATTTTTATATAATTTAGTGTAAAAGACGAAACAAAATAAACAGCATCTTTGATAACGCCCAAATTACTGCAAGCCATATGCAGTACATGTATCAATTGAGTATCTTGTTAACATAAATTGAAATAATAATGTCAGTCAAATAGTTGCGTATTTGTCACATCATTCCCTCTACTAAAATGGATTAATGTCTGTTTCCCTTCCATCTTCAAAATAGAATGAAAAATGTTGAGAAGACGAATAAACATGGTAATAATATCTGATATACATCAAGAGTAGTTGTCTCCTATATATATATG